AGGCGTGCGACCGTTTCTACTGTACGGTCGCACGTCTTCCGTCGAACAAGCAGGCTGGAAAACCCGCCGGGAATCGTACGATTCTCGGCGGGGTAATGGCCGGCTTGTTCGACAACTGCCGAAGGGGCCGGTGTGCGCACGCGCAGACTGCCTGTTTGCAGTCATCGGAAGCCTGCCCCTCATTGCAGTAATCGGAAGCCTGCCTCACAGGGGGGGCGGGCTTGCGATGATCGCAAGTACGATCTGCCTGTCCGAGATGGGCAGATCGTACGTTTTTTAATTACTTTACAACCCTCGCAAGACAAAAGTCTTGCGAGGGTTGTAAAGTGTATGGCCACCTTTACCCTCCACAATACAGGTAGTAGTCACTCTGTTATTTAAACTGAATGATTGAACAGCTGACATGCATACCAGTTACACTGATGGTCATTTGGAAAGATCCAACACCTCTCTCTAAAGCTGGCCATACACCTTACAATTATCTGCAGATTGTCTGTGGTCAGATGGAAAAGGTGCAACAAATTCCTCCATCTACACTTAACTGTGTTGCACTGTTTCCATCTGACCACAGAAAATCTGCAGATAATTGTAAGGTGTATGGGCACCTTATGTCACTCTGGAGATCACAAACAGTTAACAATTAATAGCAGAAATGGTTTGGAATTACTCACAGTACGTTGTTTGAGGTGGAAAAAAAAAAGATTCATAATAGAGTGTCAATCCTGCAGTATGAATTAAGTCCCATTGACTGCTTTTTCTTTCGTAATGGCAACACCCTGTATGGTAAAGTCTGTGTGGCTCGTTACATGACCATGCCTAGCATTTAAGTGAGCAACTGAACATCTACTTCTGACTGGGCAGTTTAGCAATGGCTCAGACAAGTGATCTATATAGTTGAAACTCATTCAGCCACAAAGTCAATGGCAATTCCTTGGGATTGAGCTGGATTGGAGTTAGCAAGGTGTATAAATACCACTCTAGCTAAATTTCTTTGATGTGCTTAAAAATAGCAATCAAACCAACTTTTAGAGTCAGAGGTCTGTGACCATCTCTTATTTATAGGCGGACAGGCTTACAAATATACGTGGAAAAATCCACACTACGAAGCAGAGCTGGATCCTCTACAAGGCAGGAGCCTAGATTCTAAGGGTAGAGGTATAGTGCAACTGGCCAAAAGTTGTGCACCTGCCTCTCACTAGCAGGCAATTGGTGTCTGATGGAATGGACTTTGCCATTACAAACCATGCATGAGGTGACTTCTCTGTGTCTATTGCAATCTTCATCAAAGTCAAGAGAAGGGGCTGGGTGGTCAAAGCCGCTACCTTGCCTGTGTAGGTGCCTCAGCTGCTTGTTGAAATCCCCTTGACCAGGACTTTCCAGCGATGGCTAAGCAGATCACATTTGCTTTACCACTACTTATTCCTTGAATTAAATATAACGTACAAAAACACATCTCATCATTTATTTTTCCTTACTGCAAGGCAGTGAAAAAATCATTGACTTGAAGGAATGCATTCGCAATTATCCAGTCAGATCTTTTATGCCACATAATGCACAGCACTTTAAACTGATAAAAATATTCTACCCTTTTTTGTTCCGTGTTTTTTTTAGTGGTTCTGATTTCATTAAATGTGAATAAAAGGCAAACCAGTGTCCATAAGAGCTGTGGATTGTCCATTAAACACCAATCATGTTGTACATATCAGGTAACTTCCATTTTATAAAAAATAAAATTCCAATGAAAACAGTTATTGCAGCAACACTCTGCTTTGCCTCTTGCCATTTTGCTCTGTCACTAGTTTAATAAGGAGTTGTGATTATTTAACCTGCACTTCAAACAGCGTGTGGACTTTTTAATATCTTTTTCGTGGTGCTCACAGTGATAACACGGATGGCGCCGTGTTCCTCCAAATCACAGAACAGAAGATCACCAGCACTCAACAGGATGAAAGCGTGACCAATGTTGACCTGAAGGAGGGACCCTGCATGGCCCTGAAACGTTGGCTTGATGACACGTGACATGATGTAACTTTAATAAAAGCAAAAACAGTTCAAGCTTTCATCCTGTTGAGTGCTGGTGATCTTCTGTTCTGTAATTTCCTGAGGACGCACCACAAAAATGTTATTCTGTCTTATGAGAGGCACTCAGGAGGACACCTAATAAAAAAGGGTACAGGCCTGTGCTTACAGAGCAGACACAACACTGCTTAGTCAGGCCAGCCTATGATATTACATACATGTCATAGAATATTTGGCCAGTAATTCATTTGAAACTTTATTTTTTATTCATCAGGTAAATGTTGAAAGAAGCAGATTAAAAGGCATACAATTTCAAACGCAAATATTCACAATAGTGCAAATAAACAATGTTAAAGAAGACCTCAGATTTCAATGAAATGAAGGTAGGCGAGAATGTAAGCAGAGTGCTACCCGCTGGAGTAGTCACAAGACACTCACATGCGAGAATAGCAATGCAGTACCAATTCTGCTAGCCATTACTGAACCCTGACTGAACCTCGTCAAAAGCCTGCTGCGAGAAGGTGCATTTATGAAGTGTTTTGTTAGCCATGGTACTATGGTTGACTTTTCTTGCTACTGTACAGCAATACCTACTAACAGAATTAGTTATACTGGCTGTATAGCAACTCTCGCAGAGTACTGGCAGTCTGTTAAGACAGTTTACACACTGTGACCTCTTAATAAATACTTAAGCATCCGCTTCACATAACCCTATATAGCTGCAGGTCCTGAAAGTGGATCACAGCAAGACTTCAGGCCAGTGGATTGAGGGTTTAAGACTACACAAGTGAACAGCACTTTGGTAATCCATTTACTTCTCTCTAGTCCTCCATTTGATAGGAACCCTATGTATAGGGGCCTCCTTTAAGTCATAAAGTGTCAAAACAGGCCACATGTCTGACAAGTTCATGAAATAGCTTGGGAAAAACAAAATCATTTTTTTCATTACACTATAAACATCTCTGAAATGTATATAAAGCAAAGCATTATTAAATAGAGAAATAACCCTACTTAAAAGCTCTAAACTGCCAAACTAGTTGCTGTAAGAAATATATTGTACATATTACTAAACTGAACGGAGAGGACTAGTGAAACCACATGGGACTCTTCATTAAATACAAAACATAAATGCCCTAACTTTTATTTTTGATGAACCCTCATGCACATGGACAAAGGGACCTTCTAGGATTATGGCAACACGTGTCATTTATATCTCCTATGTGTAATCACTTTATTGAATTCATTCCATGTGACTCAACACACAGGAGATCCAACAGTCGCCCAATTTTGCCTCATTGCAAAAGTACTAATACACAAACTGAATTGCATGAGCACATTTGCATTCACAAGATTATTGGGTGATATTTATTCCCATTTGTAGAGTACCCCCGTGAAATAGATCTGCCAACTTTCTGTTGCTGTAGTATGAATTATCATCATTTGACTGGTGGTTGAATCCCATCAAACAAGTATCAGTTTGTCTAACCTCTAATAACGCTGTGACTAAATGAGGAAAATAAAGACTTTATTGATATACTAATTGCATTACTAAAAGTATATCAACGTTTTTGGAGTTGTCCAGATGGTTGAGGTCATAAAACAACAGTTTAAGCACATTGAGGAATTCTACTAAAATGGGCAAGTTATTCCAGTATTGCTATACCTACGGACCAGTGATAAACTTGAGAACTGATAAGACCAGTAGAAACTGTTGGCTACATAAACAGATTGTTTGCCTAGTGTATTTCACCAATGCTACTGCACTCCAAACTGACTCTACTGGACAACACATAATATAGTTGTTTGGGAGTTCTCAAGCTGTATACATAAAATGGTAGCTGTAATATTTGACCGGGACAATGAGATAATTGGATCTACCGTCATGAACTGGAATGGCTGAACCAGTGACTGGAAATCATCACCGCTTGAAAGGTTCACACACGTGTTCTTTGTTGGTAGAGATTAGCTCATAAATGCCAAACAGGCAGAAAACATCTTTGTTTTACTGTCCGCTCTTTCAATGATTTCTCTCTGCAAGATTTGACTGCTTGATTATACTTTTGTCAATTCTCACTCCATAACTTATTTCTCTGTATGAAAAGAAAAATGTAATCTGTTGAAAGGTATAATCTTTACAGACAATCGACTTGAATATAGAAGATATCATGGCCACTTCACTTCCATTATAAAAATAGTTTGGAAAACACAAGAATGATCTGTACTAGCAGATAACCCATCAATAATGTAACAGCCTTCTTCAGGAGGGAACACCGGTGTATTTTGATGAACTGCAGTAGGTATTTGTCATTTAACAGAACTAGCTGAGTAAAGCAGCACCTATACACACCAGCTGGGGAGGAATGCCTATCAAGTCTACAAAGAACCCTGGTGCCTGTATGACTGTACATGATCTCAACCAGTATTAATAAGAAACATCACTCTGCAGTGGTATTACAAAGTCAAAGACCTTGATTTAGGAAGATCAATGTATGGAGGAGGCTCTGAAAGCTAGCACCTACTACTGATAAGGAACTTACATACGTTTCAAAAGGTTTATGGCTTTATATTACTTGGGTTATTACAGAAAAAAAGGTGCCCAGTGTGTGTCATGGTTAAAATAAAAGCTTCCCAAGATACATGTCCAATGAACGGTCTACCACTGTTATTCTGGACATATCCATAGGCTAGAAAGTATATGCAAAAGTATGAAGATCACACTTTGACATGGGAAAAAAATGACATACCATGAGTTCACCAAGAAAACACAGCATGGCAGATCAAAAACCAGAGTGAATATTTAGGATTAGACATGCCTGGTCGCAGCTGGACTTTCATAAACCAGCAACATTTGTTAAAACATCTGCAGTGGATCTACAATCGGAGCGGCTTACTTTTTATTGTAAGTAATGCAGCTTTGTGATATATTGGAACGTTTGTTAGATTCCTTTCAAATGCAATGGATATCTTACAACCGTAAGTAATTTGGTGTGTCTTTTAGCTGTCTGACAGGGCAAACATTGACCAAACAACCCATAGTGGTAGTATATCCTTGGCCCAAAAGACTCAAAGTGTCTCTTACTACACACAAAGTTTGAGACACTGACACATTGGAACTGAAAAAGGGGGAACTATAAAGAGTTTGAAATGATGTGTGTACACAGCTTTATTAGAACGAAGGAGGTGCTCCCTTTTATTCCAGTTCCCCAAATGTAGAATATAACTTCAAGTGCATACTGTGCCATACTTCCAAAAGGCGGTGATCAAGAACTTCTTTTACATACATTTCATTACTGGCTCCAAGTACCTAACAAAATTTAGCCACTGTATTAACATAGGAGCTTAACAGGCAAACAAAAATTAAGACCATGCCTGGAGTATGGATCAAGTGCAAGGAAATGTAACGGGCCAGAAGTGCAAGTTGGTGTACCCAAAAACCAAATTTTGTGTATCATTCCAAAATGTCTTCTTTGTGCTTTCAGTGGAAAAAATAATGAAAGCACTTCCAGTGCAGCCCACCCTTGCCATGTAAACCTGCATATTGGACAGACTCTGCATCCAACCTAAACAGATACATGAACAATGTGTTTTCAGCAAATCAGGGAAAGGAATAGACTGGGTAGGAAGAATGTCTTGGATTTTCAAGTGCAAGTAAACAGGTTGGAGCAAGTAAAGGAAGAGCTGGCTGTTGACCTGTCTATCCATTGCTGCATAGCAGGTCTCATATATTCTTCATACACAAAAAGTTAAAACACTTGTTTGTAAGTAGTCTCTCCTGTGGTTATAGCTCCAAGGACTTGATAGAGTCATCCAATCAAGAGGCTAGGATGCCTCTTCTAATAATGTCCGTCTCATAGCCGCGATTCATGCTACTGCTTGATGACAGCCTCTGCAGTGAACACTTGTCTGTTGATTCTGTTTCAGAGTCACTCATCTCTGCATCTGGAGTATAGCCATCATTGTCATTGACTAGCTTATGTTTGTCTTTCGTCCTATCATTTGGTGAGACTAGGCCTAAGTATTGACAGCTGCTGTTCGGCTGACAGGTTTCTGATTTTTGTTGCTGTTTCTCGCCTTTCTTTGGAATCCGGAATCCCCCCCAGTTTTTCACTGGGCTTGTAGGCACTTTAATGGAAGAGGACTGGTTACAGTGGATTTTGATTAATGAACCACTGTACTTCGGCAAACTATTCCCATTTGGGCTCTTCTTTGAGAATAAACTTGTCTTTCCACTACATTGGTTCGTGGACCTCTTATATTCGCCCTGCCTATCAGGCAGCTCTCCGGGCCTGATAACTTTATGGCGCTGTTTGTGAGGCTTTTCTTTGAGCTCTGCTCTTACAAGGTCACACTGGGAGCGGCTATCCCTCCTCTTCCTATGGTCTGGCATATTTGCCTCATTTTTCTGCTGTACAGGTGCAACTTTGGCAATGGCCTTTTCTGCAGAATAAGTTGAATCAGCAGATGGCATTTCCTTTCTTTTATCAGAGCAGCTGGAGCGTGAGTGAAATGGTTTCATGGTGCTTGATGACCCGTCTTTATCCCTGTTCTTTTTGTGGGACATTTTAATGGTGCGTCCCAGTGAGGCACTCAGTTGTTTCCTGAAGAAAGCAGAGTGCCACTTCAAATCTTCAATTTTTGGGGCATCTGGGTTAGATGGCTGTGTGTTGAAGAGCAGAATGCTTTCAGAAATGGCACCTGGTTAAAAACAAAACATAAAAGTTGAATAACTTATTCCAGGAAAAACAGGTAAATCACCATAAGAGAAGTAGAAATTCTAACAGTTACAAAAATACAGGGCTGCCTGCGCTCAATTCCCTCTCAAAAGGCAGACAGAATGGGTGGGGTAGAGCTGAGGTGGCCAATCTGTGGCTCACACCCTATTTACGGCTGCAGGAAATGTTGCGGGTTGTCTGCATACGGTTGAGAGGTGATGCAGCTGGCATTTCACCTGACCAGGGCAAACCAGGTCATTTAAAACTCACTGCAGAACATGCAAAGTGGCAAAAATGTGGGAAGTGGTTTCTTTTGGCCGACTGCGATGAAGTATTCTTGAAACAAGGCACCACTTTGCAAGCTTTTCAGCAAGCTGGAGCATTGCAACCATTTGGCAACAATACCTGGTAAGTGACTGTTTACATGGTTACATAGTAGTCCCTTGTGGCTGCAGACTCTAGTAAGAAATGGTTGCATGTTTATAGAGGCCTGCATCTTTGTGTGCGAATGTTATTATAGGCCAGTGCAAACATCCATTTGTACATATGTGTATAATTGAAAACTTTGTATGACCGTGCTAATCTGTACTGTATGTGGCTGCGCGTTTTACTAGTTAAGTGTCTTCAACTTTCTGCAAATGTCCATTTAACAGGTGTAAGACTAATGTAGTGCAGTATTTCACAAGTTGTCCTTTATGTATGGCTCACTGGGTGACCCAAGAACAATTATGTTATCCTTTAGCTCAATGGTAACAACAATGGGCCCAGGATTGCTTGTCAATAAACTACATGTACATTTACAAACATGCTGGCCATAATAGTGCTTTTAAAAGGCTGTGTTAAGCCTAGCAATTGTGGGGATTCCCTCCACAGCTCTGCTGTCACTAAAGCTCACTGTATTAGGCTGCAAATCTGGATCTGGAAGCTTAGTCACTGTTCACAAACAGATTTCTGGGCTGACTGGGGACACTATGACAGTTCAGTACTGTTCATTTTGAAATGGAACACAGACAGATTAATGTCAGATGGCACGTTATGTTTCAGCGTCTTCCTTTTTAATGACAAAAAAGCAGAAATCAGCTGAGGAAAAAAAAATTAATACATTCGGGGCACTGCCGGTCTTCTAGCATTCGGAAACATGAGAACTGATGGAAAACTATGTCTACTGGTATTTAAAGAAGAGTCTGAACTACACCTACAGTCACATAACCTGAAAAGGACATATAGGCAATTAGGTGCATTACAAATGTTAGAAACTTAACTCCATGTAGACATACAAGAATTATATTAATGCACGGTATTCATTAATATTTTCTTTTACATGGAAGCAGTGTATGTTCCTGTTTTTGTCCTAGTATTGGCCTCCTGTAGTCCCTGAATAGCAGAGCTCCAAATGCTACCGGGCACATGTGCTGACAAGGAACATGATAATAGGAGGAGAGAGTAACTGTGAGATGACCTCACCAGTCTACTTCTTAGACTTAGAAGTGTTACCTAACTTCAGTAGAGAAAGATCAGGTCTCCTCCTTCCCCGCCAGACAGGGCTGTGTTGTGTGGCAGATTTGTGCAAATCTTACGTAGAGTGGACAGAAGTAAAAATCCCTTGGCAGGTAAAACAGCTGCAATATACAGTATGCATTTCAACGGCGTATTAAGGGGTTTGCCTGGAGTTCAGCTTTAAATATATCTAACCTAACACTACTATGATACAATATGTATGTTGTATTGATCAGATTGAGTATCATACCAGCACTGCTCTTATCGTGATCCATGAGTTTTGTGTAGAGATTAAAGATCTGTTCCTGGACTTTGCACACAGAACGCTTCATCTTTTCCCTCCTGGTCACCATGTAAGTAAGATTGCGGACCTGAAACAAAGCGACAAAGACCTCAGATCCGGATATGAAATTTGTTTCGCACACAGGAAGTGTCTTGACTTTACACCACAATCCTCCTTTGGCTCTGTAGGGATTAGTACGCCAGAACAGATGTACAGATGACAATCTAAAGCCACATGATTCTTGTAACAAGATCCAGAGGATAAGCCATAAGGAAAGGTTGCCTAGCCATCTCTATGCAGGACCGATGCAGTGTACGATCTTGTCTTCATACACCAGATAACACAGATTTCATGAAAAGGATGCCTAACCTAGAAAATCTAACCGAGATTTGCCACATGCATGGCCCAGAAGATGTATATCTGAAGTCAGTTACTGCTGACCAATGAACTTTTATGATAAACCCATGACCAGCAGAATTGATAATGCTGCAACCAGGCAATGCCTCGAGTACAAGGTTTTATTTCCAGTATTGCACTACATTACACAGCACATTGCAGAGTACATAAAATAGGTCTATGCACATCAGTCCCATTAACTGGGGGAGCTCACCATCTAATGTCCCCACCGCACCACGCTCAAGAAAGAAATATGCAGGTTGCCATTTGTTACCACTTTCTGAAAATGCCAATTGCCTGACTAACACTGGCCCTCTTTCTGCACTCCTTTTTAAGTTACTGACCTGGAACAAATATGCAAGTTAGGAAAGTCCAAAATCCTTTTTAGCACTTGTTCTGAGTGAGTGATTCTGATCGCAGAGGCAACAGGTTTTATATCTGATGTGCCCACTGCCCTATCGGCTTGTGTGCCATCAGCAGCAGAGTCTTTGTCTGACTCTTGAGTGGCTGCCATACTTAACTGATAAACTTCCTATTGAGAAGTCTCAATCGCCTATTACTCCTAAATTAAAGGGGATGTCTCATACTGATGCAGTGTGCATCACATTGTAAGCTCATAGAAACCTACTACGGTAAAACTAACTTTAAAGTCATTGTTGGGAACTTTGAGAATGAATTACTTCACATCACAAGCATGTTGCAAGTAACATGCGCCTAAAACAACTCCACCCTTGTTTCTTGCGGCTTAAAAATCAAAACCGTGACATAAAATACTTAGCTGGTACGGTTAAACTACCTCTGGGTCACTCCAATGCCCGACTTCTGTAAATCTTTGGATCTAGCTGTAGTGAACTACTTGGTCACACAATGAAACCACCCTTGGCTGTGGTTATACCTGGAATATGACATGTCCATTAACTGGCCACAGTTTCACTCTAAGCAGGCCACAGCAAGGAGGGTGGTGGTGGCAGACAATGTTTAGGTCTGCTTTAAAGGGCCGGTATAAATATAAGGGTACATTATAGCCAGTAAATACTGTTTACACAAGAAACTGTTCATTGCTAGATCTATTTTGTAACAAAAGCCCAGTTACACTACAAGCCAAGTCTCTACAATTAAAAAGAAAGGAAAATTATTATCACATAGCATACAGATTCAAATCCAACTACAAATCTCACCCTTTCAAGGTCCTGCCTCAGATGAGTAAAGAGCTGGAGCCGGCGAATCAGAAAATCTTGTTCCCGTTTGGCCAGGTTATCTTCCTCATCCTTCTTCGGAGTTATAAGTGGTTTATTGAAGTTGGATTTCCTCTTCAGTTTCCAGTACTGGTAAATATAATCTGTCATCTCACAGGAGATTTGCAAGGCCTGACTTACATCCTGTACATTGACAAATGTATAGAAGTCATCCTCAAGTTGCTGGAGCTTCAGCTTCCGCTGGCTCCCGTGCTTGGCCTCCTGCTGGGAGGCGCTACGGGCTTGTAAATCCTCTGAACACACAGGGGGGGCCTCAGCTGCCCCATTCAGTTCATCCTCTGTCTTCTTGTCTGTACTGTGCTTTGGACAATAAGACTTGAATTTTACTTCATCTTCCTCTGTCAGGATGGTCTTCATTTCCAGACCCCGATCAAAGGCGCATGTCACATGAAAAGCTATGCGACAGTTTTTAATAGAGCACTGAAAGCAAAAAATAAATGAAAGCATCATTAATAAATATGCAGCATAGAACAATGCTGGAAAACTCTGCCCTCTACCTTGGGATAAATAAATTCTGTATAGTGTAAAAGTGTCTAGGCCAAGAAACCAACCACACCTTTTAGGGGTACAAAATGCCCTTTAGCCCTCATTCACACCTATATATTAGGTGCGATTAGGGATTCCTGTGGCAGAGACTTCTGATTTCATGCAGCAGGAATCCATAATCTGCTGTTTAAAAGCGACAGCCATCACCCATTCAAGTGAATGATCGCATGACAGTGGCTGCATTTGAAGGCAGAAGGTAAGAGATCACTATCCAAGACACACAATCTGATTGGTTTCTACAACTAAAACAGGCACCCTGAATTTTCAGTTGCAAATGTTTAGTGGAAAAAACTACAAAAAACAGCACAATTCCTCTAAAAATAACAGGGCAAAGGAAGTCTATCAAGGACCAGCTGAGAACACTCAGAACTAAGCTTCATACTCTTAATCAGAGGGTGCCAATGGACATGTAGATCGTATTTTAGAAGTGAGAGAAATATTAATCAGAACAGAGTAATATTGCCTTAGTACTGTTTGATGAGCATTAATACTGCAACCCGTTCATTTTTAGTGCAGCAGACACCAAAAAAAAGCCTATGAAGTTTTAACTTGTAAATTAAACTAAAAATACAATTATAGTCATAGGGGGTCTCTTTATGTTAAGAATGATTTTCAAACCCTTTCTTTCAGTTGAACTCGACCCAAAAAAGTGCCCAAGGTAACAAGGATGCTAAAGTGCTGGAACTAGTACCTGTATTATTCTTCAAATCAATTCTCCTGCATACTTACGGATCCCCTAGAGTCCTAGGCCAATTGTAAACAAGGCTTCAATGTCTCTCAAAGCAGTGTTTCACCCTAGACCCCTCTATGTGCTAAGCCTCACCCTGCCATTTAACTGTCAACATTTGCTGCCCCTTGGTTTGATTGACAACTGAATGAAAGGGGAATAGGGTTAGCATCAGGAGGAGGCGGGACCTAATCTTAACTTATAGAAAGGTCTGTAGCTGCCCATACACCTTACAATTATCTGCAGATTTTCTATGGTCAGATGGAAAAAGTGCAACAGATTCCTCCATCTACACTTAACTGTGTGGATGGAGTAATCTCCACCTGGGCCAATCTGTTGCACTTTTTCCATCTGACCACAGAAAATCTGCAGATAATTGTAAGGTGTATGGCCAGCTTTACAGACCTGGGCCAAAGGTCTGCATAGGGATGGAAATTATAGACCAACACAGGTACTTACAGGCACCTGGTGCCTGCATTTCAGCATTGTTGTGACCTTGGTCACATTTTACACCATTAGTGTTACCTTAAGGTTGGTGGTGCTTGGAATATTTCATTGAAAAAGACAAAGAAGGAGTAAAGTCTATTACTGATATTGTGTTTGTAAGAAAAATTAGTTTTTCCCCATGTAACCAATATGTGGAAAAGGCAACACTACTGTTCTAGTTCAAACATTCAGTGTCAAAACAAATGAGAGGTTTCGCTGCCAAAGCAAGCAACTGGGTTCTCCCTCATGTCTGCAGTGCAGAACGAGAGAATGATGGGCAGACTCAGAGCCTGCAACAGAAAATGGTTCTCTCCTGGAGATCCGAACTTGTAAAAAAAAAAAAAAAAAAGGTCTGTCTACCGTGTCCGTGACCCATACTGCATATCAAAAATTGGGTGGGTTGGCTATGAAGGTTAGCCAAACCAAGAGGTCACTTTACGGAACGGGACAGACAAAAATAATATATTAAATGTGTTTTATTGTACAAAAATATCAAAAAGAATGGTAAAGAGACCACCGTCCATTACCAGTATGAATTAAAATACACAAATAGTCTGCAAACTTCAGGACACACATAAATAGGATGGATTATCCACATGAAATTACAATTCATACGAAATGACATAACAGGACCCAATGTAGTCGCACAATAGGTAGTATCATAGGCTAACTCAGATTAAGGAGTATAATGCAACAAGGCAAACAGTAGATAATGAAACAACTACAGATAAAAACAAAAAGGACAGGCGCGCAACTACCAAAAGTGACGTGAATGGATTTGATTTGGCCTAGTGGATCTATGTAATAAGTAGGGATGCACCGATACCACTTATTTGGGTCTGAGTACGAGTACCGATACTTTTTTTAAGTACTCGCCGATACCAATTAACAATATTTTTTCTTAAAGGGGCAGATCACATTTTTTCCAAAGCAATACAAAATAATGATTTTAGGTCAGTTTCTTAATATTATGAAGAACTGTAACACATATATGGCAATGTTATAGCAAACAGAAGGACTTATGGTTAGAAGCTCCCCCGTGGTCCGTGTGGCGCCCTCCTTTGACAGATCCTGGGTCGAAGAGCCCCGGTGGTGTCCCCGGTGGTATGAGAGGCTGATCTGTTGGGGGATCGTTGAGTCTGGTGATAGGCTGCCGCTCGTATGGGGGGAGTGGATTAGCAGTCTGGGTCCGCCTTGAGTACGACCTGTCAGTGCTCAAGCCGATGTAGATGTGTGACCTTTAATAACCCTTCGTTCTTATTTGGGGCTGTCATTTGTTGGAGGTGGTCTGATCTGTGTTTATGTGCATCGTATATCACGCCAGGTCTCGGGGGGCTCAAAGGGATAATTGTCCATCGCTATTTGGATCTTCTCTCTAATAAAATGTTTTTATGTGTGTTTAAAATATGTTTGTAGGAGAATTTTATTAGTATTAAAAACAAAAAACAAGGTGGTGGACTGCCCTTGGGTGAATGGAACCTAAATATAAGTACATGTATGATCACACATGAACATGTATGTATACACAAATATACACATATATATATAAATATATACACCCATGGAGAACATATAGTAATTGTGTATATCTATGAGCCTTCTGTGATCACCTATTCTCGCCCGTAGCGGGCGTATGGTCCTACCCACATATAACAGCCCGCAGGGGCAAGTGAGCCCATACACCACATGGTCGTGGGAACAGGTGATGAACTGATTTATCCGATAAGTTTTTTTGAGGTGATCTGAAAAACTTGTTTGTCCATGTTGTATGAATTGACATGTGAGGCACCTGGGCTTTTTACACTGAAAAATGCCTACCCTATTATCAAAAAAGTTTTTTATGGAGGTGTTGGGTGCCTGAAATGCACGACTTGGCCCGACTTTGTTCTTCACGTTCCGGGCTTTTCTAAAATTGATTGATGGCTTAGGAGGTAGATTGGGGCCTAATTTGGGGTCTTTCTGCAGGATGTGCCAGTGCTTGTTGATTACTTTCTGAATTGCTTTATAACTATTGTTAAAGGTGGTGATAAATCTAATGCCGTTAGTGTTGTTGGTTACCGTATCAACGTCCCTCTCTATATCCAGTGTTGGTGTCCGATCCAGATATTTTGAGTATGCATTGGTGATGAGTTCTTCCGGATAGTCCTTGTCCCTGAATTTTTCGAAAAGCAATTGACTGGAAGTGGTGTAGTCAGTGTTTTAACCTACAGAACTGACTCTTCGGGATGTTGTCCTTCCAACGGGGGTGATGGCAACTATTATAATGCAGATATGAGTTCCCCCCGGTGGGTTTCACATGGTTGCTTGTGACGATGTTTTGTCCTATCGAATGGAGTTCTAAATTGAGGAAAACGAATCTCGTGTTGTTAACTTCATGGGTGAATGACAGGCCAAACTTATTATTATTGCAGTGCAACACGAAGTCCGCTACACTCTCCGGTGGGCCATCCCAGATTATAACAATATCATCGATATATCTGCCATAAAAGATGAGTTTATTGGCATGGGGGTTGTTGGCCCAGATGTGCAGAGCTTCCCAGTGTCCCCTCGTCAAATTGGCATAGCTTGGGGCGTAGTTGGCCCCCATGGCTTTCCCTGGGTTTGAAGGTAGAATTTACCCAAAAAGGAAAAATAATTGTGCGTTAACGTGAATTTTGTGCAGTCCAGAAGGAACTGAACCTGGTTGAAGTTGATCGAAGATTGGCCTAGAAAAAATTGTAGGGCATTGAGGCCCACTTTATGGGGAATGGAGGTGTATAGAGAGCTTACATCAAAAGAAACACAGCTGTATGTGGGATCCCAGGTATACGTGGACAGGATGTTGATGAGATGGCTGGAATCTTTGATGTAGGATGGTAATGAAAGGACTATCGGTTGCAAGAAATGGTCAATATATTTGGAAAGGCCACTGGTTAAGCTGTTGGTACTAGCGATGATAGGTCGTCCAGGAGGATTCTGACTATCTTTATGAATCTTTGGTAAATGATAGAAGTAGGGTGTGCTGGGATGTTTTTGTTGTAAAAAGTTTTTTTCTTTTTTGTTGATAATGCCCTTTTTAAGGGCTGGACCTACTAGTTCTTCCAATTCTAAGGCAAAAGCCGGTAAACGGTCTGTGGGGAGGGGTTTATAGGTGATGGAATCAGACAAAAGTCTGCGGGCCTCTTGGATGTAGACAGGGCGGTCCTGGATTAAAATCCCTCCTCCCTTATCAGCTTGTTTGATTACAATTTCCTGATTGGATTCTAGGTCTTTCAATGCCCTGCTTTCTTTTGAGGAGAGATTGTTTCGCTTTGGTGCATGCTTCCAGAAGGTCCGCATAGACCACATGGTAAAATGTGTCTATGAATGGGCCCTTGGAGTGTAACGGAAAGAAGGTTGATTTCGGTCTAAAGGTGGTTTGGATGATATCGGGATTTAAAAAGGTGCTCAAGATCAAACTCCAAAACGGAATTCTGATCTACCAAATCATAAAGGGTTTGCAACACATCCCCATCTTTCTCATCAAAGAAGTCTGCCAGTGTCTCTAGTTCAGAAGGGATCCTAGGGGAGAGGACACTGGTGGGAACTACTGTAGTGATGTTGGCATAGTGTCTTCGGAGGGTCAGTAGCCTAATGAACTTGTTAAGATCTTTAAAAAGAGTGAATGGGTCTGGTTTGGTGT